AATAATCAGACACAACGTCTTTTGCTAATCATTATAATTTCAATTGATGTGCAATTTGTTTGGTTGATTTTATCTTCACAAAAACGCATTTTTTATAGGAGAAAAATACAATATCTAGTAAAAACAATAACCTACAAAGATGGTGTATATATATATAAACACAAAACATCACAAATAATAAAACTCACATAATTTCATAATGAAATCAATATCATTTCATATCAGAACCTTATCAATCATATCTTTCTATAAGTCAAATTGCATGAAAAATAATGTATTTTCAGAACTTTCATTTTGGTACCTAAAATTTAATGGTTTAAACATTTAAGTAGGCGCTTAACCGGTTGAAGCATTAATTCTTTCTTCTAATAAACCGCAATACATAAAAACTAATTTTAGATTTAGATGTCCATGGCAGCAAGAAATACTGAGTTGGATACCACATCACTAGTAAAAACAATAATATAGAACGAAGATATGTGTGTGTGTATTTATACAATACCGAAACATCGCAAAAAATGGAAATCGTATTATTTCATAATGAAATCAGTATCGTTTCATTCAAAACCATATCAATCACATCTTTTTATATCGCCAATATCGAAATCATATCCATCCATATCAAAATGAAGGCATGGATACCTATTAATTAATTAATTCGTTGCTTCTATGTGACAGTTTAAAAATTATCACCAAACATAAAACACTGAGTCGGTCCTAAGGTTTATGTTGTTGGGCGAAAACATCCAAAAACACTGAAATTTTAGAGGTTTGTAACAATGTTGAGCATAATGTTATTAATCGATAAATCTACACAATGTACACGTAGGATAACATAAAAAAAATTGTTCAATGATTTCTTATTACTAAAATTTCATATAAATACAAAGTAACAACAACATTGTTGATAAACTATTTAATATAAATCGTGCAATCATTTGAGACACAAAAATTTAGAAAATAAAACCATTTCAAGCGATTATTACTTCTGTTACGAGTAGTTTAGATAAATTCAGAAAGCATAAGGTGTAAAAATGACTTTAAAACTATCAGTAGTTTCTTTGCTTATCCACATACAATGGAAAATGCTTCGTGAATCAAATCGTGTTTGATACATTTCTGCATGATTTGGTACAAAATGATTAAATGCTCAAAATTATTAGCAGATTCTATATAATTTAATTGATACTGAAAAATGATCGTTTGATGAATGTTATAAATAGATAATATAAAAGATTAAAATTAATAAAATTACCGTTTTACCCTTTAACAGATTAAACTGATTTGATTTTGCCATTGAATATATATATAGTGATTGAATCCATTCATAGTATGTGGGAAAAGACAATTAGATGGATAAATAAATTTATTCAATTATGAAAAATCATTCATTTATTTATAGCAATTTTTATGGACATAATATTTTTTCATTTAGATCTTCACAGATATATACTGTTTGGTTTTAAAATAGGATTTATGGTCGTCAACTTTAAGCTTCTTTTCTCCTTGAATTTGAGGTGATACAGTTTGCGCTCGAGAAGTTATTGGTATCTGAATATGGTCGAGCTTATATGGTCGTGAACCAACCGACTCGAGTTTCCTCTCGACACTTGAGCTTCTTGGAGTCGGTGCCTCGTTTAATCTGCACCAAATGGGAGCTATAAATGTTAATGTTTTGGTACAGATATGATCGCTGAATGTTTATTAATATTATATGAAAATATGTGAAATCTTATAAGGTTATTCTTTAAAAGAGCCCTTAAGAGAAAGAGGGTTTCAACATATATAGTAAAGAAATGGTACAAATCTAGCTGATCATAGAGAATTGGATTACTTACTTGTTGCAATCAACATTAGGATCGATCAAACCCGCATCAAGATCCATATGACAAAGTTGTGGAATCTCTTGAGCTTTAGTTACGTTTATCCCCATCATAACTACAGCCTGCTTTAAGCATTGGCACACAGATGTTCGTTCTTCAGGCGTCGTTTTCGCAATTTCAATCAAACTTTGAGCACTCTGGCAACATGGATCAGTGATCTGACCTATTCCCATCAAGAAACCTTGGCAAGGCAACATCCGAGCCACTGTCTCTTGGCAAAAAATGGCATTTGCACCATTCATAGCCAGAAACGACAACACAACTAACACCCAAATTGAAGAGCCACCCACCATTTTAATTCACTCTTTTTAAAGATTTAGTTACAATATTGAATTGTTGCTTAATTGTTTTGGTGAGTCCAAAGTGATCGATGTAATTTATAATGAAACTATAGTGTGTATATAATGTGAAATTTGTTAAAAGGAAACAGTTACGAAAAAAGTATACTTTTCCATTGTTGATAAAAATCGTGATGGTTAATGAAAACTTCTGTTACACGATAACTGAAAATCATGATAACACCGTTTGCTAATGTGTAAAACGTTGGTCGTAGCTTCTGATCATATGCATTTAGCCAAATGTGACGCCAAATAAATGTGATTTGATTGCTTGTAAATTTGTGGGATAGGCAATATGTATGGAACACATGATTTACCCTGTTTATGATAATCATGAGCAGGGACGGACCCAAGAATTTTTAGATACGGTTGCACCTTCTAGAATAAACGGTTGCACCTTTCACGAACCTATTTTTTTTTATCTTACCACGGAGGAACAATACGGTGACACGTGTCACCTAACCACCCCTCTAGGTCCGTCTATGATCATGAGATTGACACAGACACACAGTGAGGTGGCCTAATGCCTTTTTATAAAATATGGTTTTCCTTACATGAATTTGCCTCATATGGTATTAATATGAGGGATCCAATTCATAGCTGAAGTGAAATCATGATGAACATAATTGTAATTATCATATTTGAAATATCTATCTAAATGTATAACCAGAGGGACGAAAGTTGTAATTTACTCTACTCTTAAATATAAGTTTTCTACTCGTCAAATATTGTTAGACATGGAAATTTTAATATGGGTAAATTACATGAAAAAGTAATGTACTTTAATTTGATTTCTATTTGGATAACGTACTTTCAAAACTTCAATTTTAGTACGTAAGATATAAAAGTTTAAACATTTAAGTACCCGGGTAATCGGTTAAAGATTAATTTTAGATTTAAAAAAAAAAGACTAATTGTAGATTAAAAAATCTATTTCACTAACCACATCAGCAAATAATACTGAGTTTGATATCACATCACTCGCCGCATCAGCATGATAACCGTTTAGTGCTTCAACCGGTTACTTAAATGTTTAAAAAACATGTGTCATGAAAAGAATATATTATATTTGTTTAAAAAATTAGTTTGACATATATTTAATAAATTAATTAGATAATTTCTAAATTATTCATTAAGATAACGATATCAAGAAGATTTGTAAGCACAATCTTTCTCGTTAACAATTTAAATAAATGTTTATTTTTGAACAAATAAAGTATTATCTTGAAAAAAAATATATCATATTTATTTAAGAAATTGTTTCTCTATAATATTTAATTTGTATAGAATCTAAAAAGAGTGAATTTTTAGAGAGACGAAAAATATACTGAGAAAGCGTTTGATTTGATGGAATGGTTTTGAGAAATTTGGATTCCGTAGAAGAATTTGGAATTAGAAGGATTTGAAATCTTTGATGTGTTTGGTTTGATGGATTTGGAATGGAACGGAATTCCATGTTTTATAAATAATTATAAAAACAAATTATCAACAATTATAATAATAATTAAATTACCTCTTTATTAATGAATTATTAGAAGACAAGTTTTTTAAATATATTTTACAACATTATTATATAGAAATCCTACGAAATTCCATGAAATCCCAATCATTCCCGCGGAATTTCAAAATCTATGTTTGAAGGATTTCAAATAATTCATAGAATTTCAAATCCGAACAATTTTGCAAACTAAACATGAGATTGGAATGGATTTGAAATACAAATCTCTTCAAGTTCATTATGTTTCTGCAAACCAAACTGATCCTCAATGTAGGATATGAATAACTGGAAGGGTAAATGAGAAAACTATTAAAATATTCGAAAAGTTTCTTTTATGTCATGTAATCAAAATAATATGTCATCTACATCATCTCATTTTCATTATGTTCTTGAATTTGAGGAAACAGAAAAGAAATGGATGGAAAAGAAATAAAAAGAAAATAAATTTTTTATTAGTTTTAATTAGTTTTAATTTCTGTCCCTTTCCTCCTACGTTTGAAAGGATAGTTTTGGGAGCAAACTTATGATTATTTTTCTCTGTTTCCTTTTTCTTATCTCCTAAAAGGGTTTGAGAATACTTGTTTTTGTTATTTTCCTTCCTTTTCTGTCTGTTTCTTTTTCATTCTTTCATAAAAAAAGGTTTCAAACCACAAGGGTGGTGTCTGATTGGTTTGAGCTTGGCTCCAAAGGTCAAAAGTACCAGAAGGTCTCAGGTTCAAATCCAAAAAGAAATAAAAATCTTCTTGTGGCCATGGAGGTTCAAATACGGTGACTTCGGGTTATCTGCAAAGCAGATGGTTGCCTTATGATTAGTCGGCTCGCATAACGGGTTGAAAATAAGAATTATATTAGAAATATTTTATACGATACTAAAATTTTATTTTATATTAAAATTGGTATCAACAATTAAACTGAATAAATAGAGCTTCTGTAAAATAGAGATTTTGAGGATTTTTATTCCAACAGATTACTCAAAACTTTCTCTAACATAGATAAAGTTGGAGAGAGTAAAGTTATTTGAATTTGGAAAACTATTCAAAAATGGTTACTTATAAAAGAGAAATTTTTTATTATTATTTTTATTAATGAGAATCCTTGAAATTAAATGTATAATAAAAAAAATATTTTATAAAATATTTTAATAATATAATTCATATGGTAATCTTTTAAATAAAAATTTATAAAGAATAAATATAGTAAAATATTTATTTTAATTTAAAAAAGTATTTCTGGTTTAGTAAAATATATATTTAAAATAGCTATATTTACATTTCTTGATGATATACTTAAGCTAATATTTATCATTTATAAATTTAATAACAATTAAAAGTTGATTTTTTATATTATTATATCATATCTATCCATATTTTATTTTATTTTATTTGTATTATTTTATTAATATTTGTACTGGATCATCAAATAATTCGAAGCATATCACAAGAAAGATAAAGTATACCGTAAAAACATGAACGGTTAAAGTTAGCATATAAAGAACATGAACAGCTAAAATTAGCATATAAAAAACATGAACAGTTAAAGCAGTATATGCAGCACTGCAGTGATCCTCATGTGATCTTATCAATCTAAGTGTGAAAAACATGTGAGGTCATGTATATAAATTCTAGAATATTATACTAAGCAAAAATCATCCTCTAGCGCTCATAGTCCATCTAGGTGGACTACACCTTATTAAGCTTTCACTTCAATCTTTGCTAGCTAAAAAACCTCCATCATGTGGTCTTTGATCATGCGAACTCTTTGCTTGTTTCTGTTATTTGTACATCATGGTCAGTATTTGACTCGAGCATCAAGAGTTCTAAAGATCGATCAATCTACCCTGTTCTTCTCCACAAATAACCCTATGGACAATGATCACGACGTCGATGAGTCAATACCACCACCTTATGATCTAACCAACAAGGAACCAATGCCACCAACTTACGGGCTCCCCAACAACGAACCAATCTCACCAACTCCCAACAATGAACCAATGCCACCATCTTATGGACTCCCCAACAGTGAACCAATGCCACCAACCCCTAACAGCAAACCAATGCCGCCAACCCCTAACAATGAACCCGTGCCACCTAGTGAGTGGAGCAATAACTATAAGCCAACCATGCTCCTCCAAACTACTTGTCGACCGGCGTGCAACTAGTCTCATGAAGTACATGCTTACGGGGGTAAGGCCATATCCTCGCCCCTGAAAAATACAAGTTAAATAAGCTTGTGTATTATTGGTTTAGGCAATCCCCTGCCAACTTTTGAAGTACTGATCTGCTAATTTTAGTGAATCGTTGTATTATTATCAATGATGGGTTTCGGATCTTTTAGGAGTAAGAGTGAACTTATGCTCAAATCGAAAATAAATTAACGGGCTTAAATATAAAACATAAGTTTAGTTCCTTAACCTTGTGCAAACATATTATTCATTTGGCGTTTAATTTCCTTAAGTCTATTATGATATTTAGCATTTTTATTTGAACATCTCAGCTTGTCACTGAATCTATTTATCTATCCATAGACAAATGTTGATCCTATAACGATCAAGGGAAGTTTGGTTTGCATAATATTTTCTGAATGAATGAAATCCGTCAAAGGAGTTGGAACTGAATGAAATATTTTCAGATTTGATCAAATATTTGGTTGATAGAAAATAGAATATAATATGTGTAATAAATTGAAATCTGTTTGTTTAGTTTACAGAATTTAGTTTATTAATTAAAAACAAATAACAAAAAGCGACTCAAATTTGATTCTTTTTCTTAAAATGATAAACAATAATAACAAAGTTAACCTTTAATGTGAATATATATATATATAGAGAGAGAGAGAGAGAGAGAGATATGAGGCATCAATTAAATGCAAACTGCCAATATTTGTACAAATCGTGCAAAAACACTCATCCTTTATTTCATTGTTTAATCTTATGAAATTTTTTCATGAAATTGTTTCATAAAATACTTTTTTTGATAAAGTTGTTTCATATATGGTTATGAAATTGTTTTATATAATATTTATGCAATTTTAATGAAATTGTTTCATGTATTTCTCTAAAATTAATATAATGAAGATGATAATATCCATGATTAACACCCTCCACAATAAAAATGWTTAATCAACCTCTCATAATTATAAAAAAATGAACAAAAAGATAAATTATGATTGGTTGAATGAGGTTTGTACGGTTTGTACAAATAACGTGGTTTGTAAAGTAAATATCCTCTATATATATATATATATATATATATATATATATATATATATATATATATAGGCTCATTCAAGGGAGAACTGATTAGTTTGTGGTAACCATAAGATCTAATGTAAACCACTCGTTTGAGATATTTAAGGATAATTTCTTAAATAAGCTAAAAGGGTAATCTAATAATTCTATTTTTTACAACTAATCAAAATATTTAATTAAATTTTTTTAGAATGAAATATTTAATTAAAA